AAAGTGAATTTAATGGAATGTTTTTGTTTTATATATGTACACGAAAGACAAGCAATTTCATTGATCTTGTTGGTCAAGGAGGAGGAGGAGGAGGAGAAGAAGAGGAAGGAGGATGAGGTCAGTATCAGTGTGGTAAGGTCTTTCATGGGTCTTTACTCTTTGCTCTCTCTCTCCACCTCTCTCTCCAAGGCCAATAAGGTTAGACGAAGTAAGCATCGAGCAATATTGGACGGACGACGACGTTTCTTCTATATCCAAAAACCCCCCTTTTCACCCTTCCCGCCAAACTTGTCCCTAAACAAATTTAATAAATTCGCGATTTCCATGTTGACTGCATCGAGGGGGAATGAAAGTCACTGTTTTCAATTTCTGTGTACATTTTAACCAACTCTCTCTCTCTCCCCGTCCCCTATGGCTAATAAAAGTGAATCCACAAGGCTACTAAATTAAACGACAACGAATATTACACTACTTTTCAATTTGTTGATAATAAAACATTTTTTTAAAATTATTTTTTAAATTATTTATTAAATATTTTTTTAATTATTGTTAAATTTTTTATATTATTTTTCAATTATTTTTTAATTATTTTAAAATTATTTTAAAATTATTTTAATATTATTTTAAAATTATTTTAAATATTTTTTAAATTATTTTTCAATTATTTTTTTGTAATTCGTTTTATTTTAATTCATTTACTATTTATCCTTTTCTATTTATTATTATATTATACAGGGTGATTTTTATGTTCCGGACCCCCTAAAATTTTTTTAAATTCCATTATTAAAAAAAAGAAACGAACGAAAATGAGAATAAAAAAATTTTTTTTAGGGTGTACGGAACATAAAAATCACCCTGTATAATATAATTATTAATTAACGGAACTTAAAATATTTTTAACACTTTTTCTTTCAGTATGATTATTATTAATTATAAAAAAAAAAAATCTCCTACCTTAGCTGCCTTCAATCGATGTATCGTGTATTGTAGAAAAAAAAGATCTGTTGTAAACACCACTCGATCAAAAAAAAAAAAATTAACACTCAAAAAAACGACTATTTTTTTTACTAAGAAAAATACTTTTTTTAAGCGAACACGATTTTAAAAAATTTCAAACACTCCCGAAATAAAATGAAAATGTATTAAAATGACAAAAAAAATATTAACACTTTCAAAATTTTAAATCACGTCTAAACAGGTCAAGGCACAAATTGTTAATGATTAAATTATTTTCCTACCATACTGTTTATGACCTTCGCGAGCTGAGATATCTTTTGTATATATTTCAAATGTAAACAATTTGTTTACTGTACTTTAAATGTACAGCTAGGGTCGCAGGTATAAAAGGTAATAAAATTCCAAATTCATTTCTTATAAATTTTTCGAAATAATAATTTAGATTTAGTTTTATTTATTATTTATTTAGATTTATTTTTTAATTTCATCGATTGAATTATCAGGGTTTTTCAATTTTAGTGGAAAATATTAATGCAAATTATGACAATTTTTTAAAATTATTATTATTATTATTATTATTATTATTATTATTATTGACAATATGTAATTTAAAATAATATTATATGATAATAAATTTCATATTTATTATAGAAAAAAAAATTATTTACAAGAAATTTGCTTGTGATATAAAATTAAAATTTTCTTTTTAAAAAATTTTGATATTTTTTTTTTTTAATGTATAATGTAATTGATCGAAATTCCCTACGTCAGGTTTTTTTTTGCCGTTTCAAAGTTAATAGTTTAAAAAAAAAAATACTTTTTCTATTTGTTACTTTTCAAATCTGATAATCTGTTGTTATTTTAATTATTATATCCCTATTTAGCGTTCCAATATTTTTTATAATATTTATTATATACTGTTAAATGAAAAAAATATTTTTTCAAACATTTTTGTATATATTATTTAATTTGTTTAGCTGAAATTTAAAAAATATATATATTCAAGAATATTTCAGTAATGAATCATAATTTTCTAATATTCTCTGTAATATTTTTAAATACATATATACATATATTCCCTTTTTTTAAGTAGTACGAGTCGATTTAAGTCCGACTGATTAAATTTATTAATCAAAATGGTAATAATTGATTTTTATAAATTTATAATAAATATTCGGTAAGATCAAAAGAATTTTTTTTTCTGTAATTATTTTTATTATTTCAATTATAAATGCAAGTGTTTTAATATTTTGTAATTTGAAATGTAAAAAAAAAAAAAATAAATAAAAAATATTCAAGTTGTTATACACTTTGTCCAAGTTTTCACCAAATAGAGTTTCCCAGTTTCACGACTGAACAACCGTATCACTGTCGGTAGCGCACTTTAGTTCAGTATATTGGTCTTTGGAGTTAGGGAGCACGCATGGACTCGAATTTCCAGGCTCGCTCGCATGGTTAACTTGAACAAACAGAAATTACCATTTTATTGGGTGAGTTCTAGCGCCCTCTTACGGTGCCATGGCGGCAACTCTCCAACCCCTTCTCTCCCTCTCTTTTGCTTTCTCTCTTACCGTATACGACTCGACATTTCTCTCTCTCTCTCTCTCTCTCTCTCTGAACCCCTAACGCCAGGATTGGAATACTTAATCGTACCCTTCGGTACCATTGCAAATCTATTGTTCCTCAATGTGAGTCAGTTTCGCCCAAGTTCGATCATTAGCTCTCATCAACACCCTCGATTAAATAAACCTTTCATTAATTTCCCAAAACCCGGAAAATTTCACATCTTCATTGAAATCACTTTCTTGTTCCCTTCTATAGGGGGAAAAAATATTTATTTTCTCTTTTATATTTTTTATTTATTATTTATTATTTTCAAAATAATAAATACGAAAATTCTCAATTTTAAAAATATTAATTTTTTGTCATTTTTTCTTAAGGCCAGGTCCAAGTGAGGCAGCGCCATCACTAAAATTTTGGAAAATTTTTAACAGCCTTTTCTTGAAAACAAAAAGGTAAAATTCTTTTTTCCTTTATGGATAATTGATTATTGGCAAGATATACACCAGCTAAAACTTTTTTTTTGAGTTAAAATAATAAAAAAAAATTTCATGTCAATAAATATGAGCACTTTTTTTCACAAAAACTGTAACAGTACTTTCTCAGAAATTACAATGAAAAATGCAATTTCCATTTGGAAAATTAATAAACGTTAAAAAAATACACGGCCTAAGATTTACCAATCACGAAAATAACAAAAAAAAAAAAAAGTTTTTTAACATAACATATTTTACTCATTATGACAGCCGTTTACCGAGAAAAAAGATTTCTTTGATTCAAAGAAATCAATTTCTTTGACAAATTTCTTTCTTTGATTCAAAGAAAATTTATTTGTTTCACAAAAATTATTTTTGATTCAAAAAAAATTATCTTTGTTTAAAAAAAAATTATCTTCGTTTCAAAGAAATTTGTTATTTAATTCAAATAAATGTTTCTTTGACCCTATATCAATGTCAGAATTTATTCGAATGTAATTGAACAAATTTCTTTCATTCAAAGAAAAATTTTTTGAATCAAAGAAATTTTCTTTAAAACTAAGAAGCTATTTTTGTTTCAAAGAAAATTTTATTTTGAATAAAAGAAAACAAGTCAAAAAAACTGGTTTCTTTAAATCAAAGAAATCTTTTCTATGGGTGTTTGGCAGGTTATATATGTCACCAGACGTTTTGCGGTTTTGCCGAAAGGAGGAGATTGGCGCTGTTGCTAACCACCTGAAATACATAATCTACCAAAGGACTGTGTCACAATCATTAAAGCAGTATCAATATGTTGAATATTTAATAAAAAAATTTTTTTTTTTTTTTGTTATTTTCGTGATTGGTAAATCTTAGGTGGTGTATTTTTTAGCGTTTATTAATTTTCCAAATGGAAATTACATTTTTCATTGTAATTTCTGAGAAAGTACTGTTACAGTTTTTGTGAAAAAAATGCTCATATTTAATTTATCGACATGGAAATTTTTTTCATTATTTTAACTCAATAAAAGTTTTAGCTGGTATATATCTTGCTAATAATCAATTATCCATAAAGAAAAAAGCATTTTACCTTCTTGTTTTCAAGAAAAGGCTGTTGAAAATTTTCCAAAATTTTAGTATCAATGTAGATGGCGCTGCCTCACTTGGACCTGGACTTTTTTTTTTTTAATTTTCAAATTATGACAATTTAAATAAAATAATGAGAAAACTCATTTTAAAAATGGAAATTTATTTTTAGACATTATAAATAGGAAAATGAATCCCTTTGTGGGAGATAAAATATGTGAAAAAGGTCCTACTAATAAAATTGAAGCTTATTTTCGTGGTTCCTGGGCTTTTAATTAAGACGAAAGAAAACCCAATAATCGACCATTTTCCCTCCACTCTCTCTCTTTCTCTCTCTCTCTCAATTGCCGTTTCAAGTTGACGCTTCACAAAATTAATTAAACTTTAATTAATACAGGTCTTTGAAATGCTAATACTAAAACAAACACGTGCGCCGTTTAATTCACAAGAATATGAAAATCCGATCTTCGTAATCGATTGTTCCCCCCCATCACCACCCTTACCCCCCCTCTTTTTTTTCTCCCGCTCGCAACGAACAATGGAAATTGCAATTTGTAACAGGATTTTTCATTTCGAACGGCTCTAATTAATAATTTTCTGACGATAACGAATTTTCCATCATCTGACATTTTTTTTTCGCTAATTGTAAATTTTTGATAATTCAAACGATGTTATAATATAAATTATATGTCATTAAAAAATATTTCATTTATTTAATTTTAATTCTTTATTATAATTATTTGCTTTTTGTTAATATTTATAATATTAAATATTATAATAATATAATAATATTAATATAACAATATAAAAAATAATAATAATATTTTTTTTAATTATATTTTGCAAAAAAATAATTTAGTTTTCTAAATAAAAAATTTGTTATCGAAACTTTTTTTTTTCTTTTCTTTAATTGATAATGGGCTGATAAAAAGAGTTGGAAAATTTAAATATGTACATCAAATTTTATTTTTATCACGAGTGACTATATACAAATGGTATTTTTTCTAATGTTGCTAACATTTTCCTCGCACATTTGACAATTTTTTTTTTTTTTTTTTTTGCAAATTTTTGAGCACACAAGTTGCTTGACTTTTTTTTTCCTTTTTTTTAAACCTTTATTTTTGTTTCAGAGTCTCATAAATATATCAGTACAATGAATTAAAAATGATCATTTCATATCATTATCTTATCATCATTCTCTGTTCTCTGGAAAAGATTCTTAGTACTATTTATATTATAATGCGCATTTTTTTTCATCTTAACATATTAATACTGCATGACATTGTTTTTCAATAAGATGTTCCATTTTTTTTTTTTTTTTTAAACTATTTTTCTAAAATTTAATACTGAGTAAATACACTTTACAAATTCTGTTACTAATTGAAATAAAATAAATTTCCCTCCTTTTTTTAAAAAAAAAACAATTTTCTTTCATTGAAAAAAATTTAATTTCAAAAAAAATAATTCTACTTTTAGTTTGTAAATTATAAATTAATCGTAAAGTGAATGAAAAAACAATTTCATTTTTTTTCAATTAAAAAGAATAATGAATTGAATTTTTCACATGCAAATAATGATTGTCCCTGTGTATATTGAATATTATCATTCAAAACATATAATATTGTTCGTCATTGAGAATATAATTCACTTAGATTCATTCATTTATTATAATTATTAAATATATATATATAAATGCAATGTCAAATTTTTTTTTCTACAAATAAACATATTGTGAAAAAATTTTTTTATACAAAATTTTCAATTATTCACAAATAAACATACTTTTAAATATATGTAGAAAATTTCCAATTGTCTACAATAAACATTTTTTTAAATGCTAAAAATTTTTTTTTCATTGAAAATATAATTTCTCTCTCTCTTTCTATATATATATTTTTTTTTTAAAGACCTTATTTTTCTCGCGTAATATCAGTGCAATATTTTTTGAATAAAAGCATTTTAATTAACAATGACAATGGACTGAATACATAATTTAAAATTGACAACGTATTTATTTTCAAAGCGTTTACTGCGCATATTGCACCTTTTGTCTCCATTAATGATTTCATCTACAATCAACTTTTTTATTTTTTTTTATTTTTTTTTTTTTAATTAATGAGAATAATGAAAAATTTGTATAGATAGCGTTTAATTGTTTTGTAAATTACGTAACTCTTGAAGAGGAGGAGGGAAATTAAATATTTAATGGAGAAAAGTAAAATTAAAAGCGTTACGTAATTTACGAAGGAGTTTTCACATAATTATATATATATATATAGACATACGTACGATTTACAAAAATAGCGAATATAATTCTATTTTGAAAATAAATTCCTGAAACGAATTCGATATACCAAAATTTTCGAAAAAAGCACACAATCGCATAATTTTTACATTTTCTTTTTTTTACAAATGGCTGTTACGTTCAATCCTTACATAACTTATATTTACATTTATTAAACTAAAAACAAAAAAAAAAATGCTTCTGGAATTTTTTCTCAAATTTTTTTTTCAAAATGAAAATTGTTTTTTTTTTGGTATACAGTCACTGCTAAAAGTTTTCAATTATTTTTGCTTCCTCAAGAGGAAGTTCTGTTATTATATTTCAATTTTATTTCACTTTATTGAATTTCTTTTTTATTTTCTTTTAACTTACAAATTTTTATATTTTATTCATATAATTTTTTTTCACTTTTTTCACAAATTATAAAAACTATTTTCCCTTTACAAAAGTAATTTATAATTTCGAAAAAAAAAAAAATTGTTAAATCCATCAAGAAAACAATTTACAACGCCTGCAGTAAATTTTTAATTTTTTTTTCTTTAAAACGAACAAAATTGAAAAATAAAAAAATATAATTTAAATATGAAAATTATAATTTAAACCAATGGCAGAGACTGTCGTATACAAAACAATCAAAATTCTCTCTCAAATGGAAGTCTCAAAACATAAAAAAATTGTATTAACGAATTTTGAAAAAAATTAACTAATAAAGAAAAATTAAATGATTGAATAAATTTAAAAAAAATTATTTTTTTCAATAGAATAAAATTAAAAAGAATTAATTTTAAATAATAAATTCTTTTTAATTTTAATAATGATGATTGGAAAAAAAAAAATTTAATGAAAAATAAAGAAAAATGTTTTTTACCCTTTAGTCCATCCTGAGCATCTTTAAATGTTAACGCACGCCTTTTGATGATTGAGCTACTGGAACATCATTTTCCAAAAGCATGCGTAGTCACGAATCATTTATTCGCTTCTTTTTTTTCAAATATCTTTCATGAAGATTTTTGATAAATTTCCTTGGAGGAAATAATCGCATTCTCTAATAAATATATTTGCACACGGGAGGGGGTTTTTCCTTTTAATTTTTTTTTTTTTTTTTTTTTTTTAATATTAGCACACTGGGCATCTCATTAAAACTGAGAATGATAAAAAAAATCTTTTTGATATTTATCTGCCACATGTCCTTGTCATCAGCAGGAAGGGGAAAATTTGGAATTTAAATTTAAACAATTTTTTTACGTCCAAATTTCACACCATTTGAAGTCCTTTTGTGATACTTTCTACATGTTCCTTTGCTTTCATCCTGAGAGCTTGAATACTCGAGGTTCTTGGATCATGTCCTGGAGGACTTGAAGGTGCTTGCACTGGCCCTCCACCTATACTCGGTATTCCTGCAGCTATGGCAGCTAAAAAAAAATATTCTTGATTTAATTATACGAAAGAAATAATTTTTTTTATTTAGCAGAAAAAAAAATTCCACGTAAACGAGTCAGAAAGTACTCAAGTTACTAGTGAGTAAGTCAGAAATTATCCAGTTAAAATTTCTCACTTTAAAAAGTTATACAAAAAATTTTATTTTAGAAGTACTCGTCAGAAGTACTTTCAGTCGGAAAGTATTTGTCAGAAGGTATTCAACGAAAAGTAATCAAATGTCTAAACGTACTCGAGTCAGAAAATAATATATTCAAATGGCATAAAGTACGTAAAATAAATAGTACTTATTTTAAATAATCATTAGGTCAGAAAGTACTCAGGACAAGAATTACGAAGATCAGAATTATATTATTTAGGGAATTGTTATTTAACTATGAAAAATATATGTTTACGACTCGGAAGGTACTCAATAGTCATAAAGTACTTCAGTCAGAAAATTATAATTAAAAGTATGTAATTCTCAAAGTATAAATGTCAAAAAGTATACTTAAGTTGAATAGTCCCTTAATCTGAAAGTACTTTCAACCGCAATTAAGTCAGAAAATACTTTTGCTAAAGTGTTCAAAAATATTTAAGCTAAAAGTACTTAAGTCAGAAAAGTGCAAAAGTCAAAAATACCGCCAGCAGCTTTAAAAAATATTGTGTTTGAAATTATTTTTACCTGTAAGACTGGTAACAGGAGAGACATTCGGTGGAGATGGAAGCCTTCTTGATGACGTTAAATAACTTGGATAACCAGTGTGAGGTGCGGCTAAAAATCCAGGAAGAGCACTAAGAAGTCCCGGTGGTGGCATCCAATGTTCACCTGCTAATGCCAATGCAGGTCCTCCAATATTCCTTAAAAAAAACAACAAAAAAATTATAATTAAAACAAAAAAAAATTAAATTTGAATTTATAATTGAAATATTAATATTTTTTTCGACCTCATCTACTTTTTTTTTACAAATATATTCGTCCCTTTATAATAGGATCATCATTATACACAATTGAATTATGTCATTATAAAATGAAGATCATTTATACAAGTTTATCTTCACTTCATTAAACAAAAGTAATTTGATGGTCTCATTTCTACGAGAGACAAAGGACTAAGTTCTTAATTCATGCAAAATACTTGCCTCATGTTCGCGTGATGATATTCCGAGATGCCAAGCCTGGTGGCTTCCATTTTCTCCTGTCTACGCCATTTCGCTCTTCTATTTTGAAACCACACCTGAAACAATCATAAAAAAATAAAATTTTTAATTGTGTTTCAAAAAAAAATATATATATATATATAGTAAACAATTTTTTCAACATTATTGAGCAAAGTAACAAAAAAATAGTAACAATTTTTATTGCCACAAATAATGCCCAGCAGCGTGGGGTAAATGTGAAATATTTAGATTTTTTTTTAAAAATGGAGTGTAGAAAAAAATTTAGGGGGGTAGCAAACGATCGGAATACGATATTTATCAACTTGAGTTGACAACAAGTAACAAAAAAAATAGTAACAATTTTTATTGCTATAATTAATGCCCAGCAGCGTGGGGTAAATGTGAAATTTTTAGATTTTTTTTAAATAATCATGTGGGTGGCGACTATGGGGCGCTGCTGAACTTGACTGCTATAGTTTCACTGCACTCGTAGATCTAAAAATACTTATAAAATATTTAGGACAAATTGCATAAGTACTTTTTGACCTAAGTCAGAAAATTGTTAGGTAAAAAATATTCTTGTTAAAAATGTTTCATAACGTACCTAACTTTTAATCCGAATAAATAAATATAATACTCAATTAAAAGGTGCTTAAATTAAATAGTAATTAAAAAACTACTGAAGTCAGAAAATATCTAAGCCAAATGGTACTTGTGTCATAAATGATTTATGGTTTATTGTACTTTTGTTAAAAAATATTGGTCAGAAAATAGAAGTTTGGTATTTAGTGTTAAAACGTTCATAAATCATAAATAAGTAAACAGAAAGATGTAAAAAGGATTCTACTACATTTTTCATAAAATATATTCTCTCTTTTCTAATCGTTATGTAAAAAAAATTTTTTTTTTTTTTTGCAAAGTAGAACAAAATTGCCTTTTGATAATTATAGAGAAGCAATTTTTTAAAATAGAGTGCAAAACCTTTGATAATTGTTTTAGCAAGTACACGAAGAAGAGAAAAAAAAAATAATGGCAAAATTGAGAAAAAAGAAAAGAATTTTTTTTTTCAAATCAAGCCGGACTTAATAATCTTTTTTTGCTGCTAATGTGGCAGCACTTTAAAACAGGACGAATATGCCACATTATCCTAATACCCTTCGCACTGTTATCTATCCCATGAAATCTCCACACACCATTCACTATACTAATTAGCAGTTTTAACTTCTGTTTCAAATGCGTGCGCGTGCACAAATAGGCATAGATTATATTCTTTGCTTAAGGTTTCAGAAAGTCATCGACAGCAATATTTTTTTCAAAAGAAAGGAATTTTTTTTCATGTTTCCAATGACCCTCATATAATGATGCCAATCGCTTCTAAGGATAGTTTTAAAATATATACTTTTTCCAGGTTTTGTTTTTTTTTTTTTAGAAACAAAAATCATTCGCAAATTTTCTGAATTTACAAAAAAAAAATTCAATCCTATAAATAAAAAAATTACTTTTTCTTTAAAATAAAAAGAGAGAACCTTCCGACGGAAGAAATTTTACTATCGTTTTATATATTCTAATTATTATATATATATTCAAATTATTATATATTATAAACTTTATTTATAGTTTATAATTATTTGATTAAATTATCATTATTTTTTGAATATTAAATTTTTTTTTGTGAATTATATTCGTCGCCTGAAGGCATATTGTATTAACGGATTTTCTAAGTTTGAATAATGATGTTGGTTATTTTTTTCTTTTTTAAAGAATCATGACTTCCATAGCAGGAGTGAAACGTTGCGTGTTGAATAATTCATACATGATTTTAGAAAGGCAATTTTCGATAACCATTGGCCGTAGAATGTGCGATAGATTTTAGTTAACCTGCCAACAGCAGCCATGTTACAATAAAGAAATCAACATGGCCGTTCATCCCCCTTTATGCTATAAGGCTGTGGGTTCTTCAAGGCTCACTTTCGATTTTGCCCTTAAGCTCGTTACCCTCTTGACGCTTAAGAAGGGTGGACCCTCTTTCTCTCTTGCGTCTTTCTCTTTTGGGGTTCTTGATGTTTCTTCTCTCTCTCTATCTTTCTCTCTCTTTCTCTCTCTATCTGCTGTCTTTTCTTACAAGCTAGTTTAGGGGTGGTCCGCCCTGCCCCGCCCAGACATTTCACCCTCCAGCCACTTTTCTCACAAGCAGCCTGGCGTCACCGAAAAGAAACTCGTTCACTCTCCTCCATTCCTTTATTCTCCTTTCTTTATTCTTTCCCTCCCTCCCTCCCTGTCTCTCTCTCTCTCTTTCACCTCTCACTTTTCTTCCTTTCTTCGACACGAAAATAAATTCAATTATTTTCGTTTATATCCAGAAAATATTACGTGATAAAAATGTTCCTACTATAAAGTATTGCAATTTTAGACATAAAAATAAATTTAAGTCGTAAAAAAAAGTTGGAAATTAAAAAATACTTTATTTAGAAATATATTAATTGTAAAATATATTTACATTTGTCATTAAATAAAAAGACTTGTCGCTTGAGAGCTTCTTTTGAAATTTTCTGACTTCTGACTTTAGTACTTTTTGAATCTATGTATATATTTTGATTTTAGTATATTTTGACTTGAGTACTTTATGTCCTTAATACTTTCTGTCCTTAGTACTTTTTGAACTTGTGTACATTTTGCCTTAAATATATTTTGACTTAAGTACGTTTTTACTAGAGTACCTTCTGACTTTAGTACTTTTTGAATTTAAACACATGTTACCCTAAGTATTTTGCCTTAATTAAATTTTGACATTAGTACATTTTGATTTTTAGTACTTTCTGGCCTTAGTAAGTTCTTACCTAAGTACTTTCTGACCTTAGTACTGTTTGAATTTCTGTACGTTTTGGCTTAAGTATATATTTTGACTTAATTACACTTTAATTTAAGTATATTTTTACTTGAGTACCTTCTGACGTTAGTACTTTTTGAACTTAAGTACATATGTTACCTTAAGTATATTTTGACTTAAGTTCACTTTACATTAAGTAAATTTTGACTAAAGTACATTTTGACTTCAGTACCTACTGATTATATTATTTTTGGACTAATATATTTTCAGGTTTGAATATATTCTAACTGTGGGGTTCCTTTCTGACTTGAATTCTTTTTGTTATTAGTACTTTATAACTCGATTACATTTTGACTTTTGACTTTAGTATTTTTTGATATAAGTACTTCTTCAAATGATTGTATTGAAACGAACATGAAAGTAGTTTAAGTTTTAAGGTTTCCAAGTTAGAAAATACTAATTAGGAATTACTAGTTGGATAATACTAGTTAGGTAATACTAATTGGGGAATGATAGTTAGAAAATACTAATCAGGAATTAATAGTTGGAGAATACTAGTTGGATAATACTAGTTAGGTAATACTAGTTGGTGAAGGATAGTTAGAAAATACTAATCAGGAATTACTAGTTGGATAATAGTAGTCAGAAAATATAAGAAAATACCAGAAAGTATACTAAAGTCAGAAAGTATTAATAAAGTCTTTAAATCAGATACTACTGGTCAGAAAGTACTTAGGTAATAAATCACTCAAATTCGAAATTACTAAATGCAAAAAATTTCTAAATAATACCATTGTATTCAATAATTTATCATTTAAAAAAAACACAATAAGACGAGAAATTCAACAAAAAAATGAGAACATAATAAAGAAAAAGGAGTTGCAAACAAAAATAACGGAAAATAATAAAGTTGAAATACATTTTGTTTAGCATATAGTTTTCAATTTGAATAATTCAGTTGCAAAAGAGATGAGCGAGTGTAAAATTGGAAAGTATAAAAGGGATAAGATGGGATTCTGATAGAATAATAAGGAACAAATTGAGTGTTTTCGTGTGTATATCTTCTTGTTTAGTGTCAAATGAAAGCAAGTAAAAGACTTTTAGTTGATACACAAAGAGAACATCAACGAAAGGACATTGCTAGCTCATCAGGACGATATTCTCTGCTTATGACGAGAAGCAATTTTCTTTCGTGCTCCGTCGCGGAGAAAAGACTATGGACAAGATGCCACGGCGGGTACGATGAGAAAATAAGCGAATTTCCGTTTCAAACCCTCTTATCTCCGTGAAGAAAAGACTCAGAGAGAGAGAGAGAGAGAGAGAGAGAGAGAGAGAGAGAGAGAGAGAGAGAGAGAAATAAGGGTGTGACGAAGAAAGGGTATGACCGTCAAGAGAAAAGCTTATATAGAAGGGGTGGAAGAAGAAGGATGATGGAGGGGAAAAATTTTTCAAGACAAGGACAAAGATTATATATAAATATAGTAAAGAACATTTCCTTTTTTAACGCGGAAATATAAAGAACAGGGCTAACGCGACTTAACCTTTTTAGGTTGTAAATTTATAAAGTCGACAGGGGTAAAGGTGAGGGAAATTTTCTTCCTCCTCCTTCTCATCGTTTTCGTCGTCCGATGCTGATGCTTGCCTCGGCAAATGATATCGCGAGATAAATTCGTTGAGATGGCACGAATGCCAGAGAGAATCGAGACAAAATGGAAGTACCTAATTCACTTAAATTAAAATTGCGAAACGAAACGCAAAATGTATTCACTGCTTCTTCACGCGGAATATATATCTTTCATATAAATACATTTATACACAAATCAAAATCCCGTACCATCGCCTAAAATATATATATATAATTTCAATTTTATAAATTAATATTATGTTAGTTTCACAAGAATCTATTTTCCGTCAGGCCGTATAGTGCCAAATTGTTTAAAAGACTAGATAAAGGATGTAATTATAAAGGTGCTCTTTCAAATTAATTTTACAAATGGTACAATTGAAAAATAATTTTCTGACGAATTATTTTCACGTTATTTTTAGTAAAAAAAATATATATATATTGGAAATTATAAAAGACCAAAGTTAGAAAGTAATCAAATTATAAAATATTAAAGGCAGAAAGTATTCAAGTAATAAAATACTAGTCAGAAAGTATCCAAGGTATAAAATACTAGTCAAAAAGTATCCATGGTATAAACAACCACAGTCAGAAAGTATCCAAGTTATAAAATACTAAAGTTAAAA